TAGATTAATTGAATTGGTTTGGTGTATATATCATGTCTGTGCAGTCTAAAAGCTCAATTCTCTCTATGTCATATAGGAGTTAAATCACTTTATTTACGTAGCATTACGTACATCTCCCAGGCAGTGATTCCCAGAGCCCCCCTACACACTTCCTTAAAAAAATTACATTTCCCTTACTGCACAGTGTTTTTAATTTAGATTTAATTGCCTGTGAACGGTCTGCTAAAGACTACAGCATCCTCCTGTTTGTGATTAAAGTTCAATAACAGACCATGAGCGAATAACTATTAAAGTAAACACACTGTGCTGTACAAAAAAAAACATTATTTTCATGGAGCCTCTGTGTGTTTGTCATACAGAGGAAGTATGGCTAGGACTGCCTAAACAAAGTAATTTAACTCTTAGGTGCAGAGGATTGAGCAGTGAGACTTATTGGGTATGATCCATACACCAAAACATGTTAGGCACAGCAAAGGAGAACTATGGTACGACATTATTTTTTTCCTAGTCTAAAACTAAGTGAAATTAAAGTGAACCCACATATTTATATTAACTTCATGAAGGTGATTTCAGAATGGCTACTTTCCTACCATTCTGTTGCTGAGCACTTCAGACGTATAGATGAAATGTATTAATTTTTTTGCTACGTCTGTGAAGAACAGCGCCTGTTCCATATGACTGAAAAGGTATTTATAGCAAGCCATCCTATTTCCTTTTAACATTGTCTTGTATAAGAATTCCTTTACGTAAGGACCGTGCACATATGAGGTAATGTAGGTTAAGACCTGATTTTGCTCAGAAGTTAAGAGACTTTAGTCACTGGTTTATCTAATTTGCATATTGTATATGTAACCTAAAGCAGACTTAAAAAGAAAGGAAGTACAACAAACAGCCTTATACGCATGGCGGATATACATGATAAAGATCAGCATATTCGTGTGTACTGTAACAAGTGTCTACAAACAAGGAATAGTGAATATTAACAGGAGAGCAGATACAAGTAATGTGAGTTTTACACGGATCACTCTGGAACACAGACTGTAGCAAACATGACAATCTGAGCTTTTATCTGCAACAATGTTGGAACAAAATGGCATGAAAATATCATTAATTCAATTAACACACTGGGATAGCTTTACAAGAAGATCATTTGAGGAGAAATCTAGTGTACTTGATTGCAGATATTCAAGAGGCATGCAAGGATAATAAAATATCATCAATAAACATTCAGTAGATACACAAATCATAACAAATCTATTATTTTGTGTTTCTCATGAAGAGGTAAAGGATAAAAGTTACAATGAAAACGAGTAATTCCAAAATTACACAGCAATTTATGAGGATTCCAGTGCCTGGCACATAGAAACCCAACAGTGCAAGATGTATACAATCATATCTTCATTATAAATAACATTAGAATAGACTTTCAGTTATTACCAAAAATGGTCCTGCCCTTGAAAAGCTAAAAATCTCTTGGATACATGTCACAGAAAGGGGGGGGGATGTATTTTGGCATCTCCCCAACTGTAGAATTTTCTTTTGTGTCTCACTATGCACACTCTCCAACCTCCTTTTGTTAGGGAAGTCACACACATACATACATACATTCATTTTCACAGACATGGACACATACATACACACATGGATAAATACAAAACACATTCTTACACACAAACATGCATTCATAATATAAATACACACAGACATACACAACATTCATTTTGTTTATTTTTTTTGTGAGAGGGGTTGTTTCAGAGCTCTGTACTGGATTTCGTAGCTTCCTTCTACTGTGTACTGAAGCCTGGCCTGGTGTGGCATCACATCCTGGCTCCAACAACAGTCCAAGAAGTCAGAGTGGCAACCACTAGAAGTGGTGCTAGTGAGCGCTTTAAAAGAACACACAAAAAACCCCACAAAGGCAGCGCTCACACTGCTCGGTCTGCAGAGACAGGCAATATGCCTTTAAAAAGTTCACCTCTCTAGGAAAGTATATCAACCTCTGTCAGTCACTACATTGGCTTCCAATTAGATACACAGGTCAATTTAAGATTCTGGTGCTTGCTTACAAGTTCCTACATGATGCTGCAACCTACCTATCCTCCCTAATACACAAGTATGTCCCATCAAGGCCCCTGTGCTCTGCCAAAGACCTACGTCTATCCTCTGTCCGTACGCCCACTTCTGATCCACGCATTCAAGACTTTTCAAGGGCAGCACCTTTTCTGTATAACTCCCTTCCCTTCTCGTCTGGGGTTGCTGTGTCTCTTGTGCAGAGAAAATTTGCTGGTATTTCGGGTCTGGACTGCCCGTATGGATGGGACCACTCTGATATGTTTCAGAGCTGTTCTCTCTTTAATGGCATGAGGTGAGCTAAAACCAGCTTGAGTTCTGGGCGGGGACCCACCGAAGAGCAGGCTTTTTCAGTTGCTGTCCGTTCTCAGAATACTCTTGCGACCTGTTTTTGCTCTCCATAAGTTTAAAGGGTAATCCAGACGTGGACCCCTTGCTCACGGTGCCTAGAGAGATATCAGCTATGCCTCACTGATGATGCTTAGAGGACCACTATAGTGCCAGGAAAACATACTCGTTTTCCTGGCACTATAGTGCCCTGAGGGTGCCTCCACCCCCAGGGTCCCACTCCTGCCGGGCTGGATGGTGAGGAAAGGGTTAAATATTACCTTTTTTCCAGCACCGGGTGGGGAGCTCTCCTCCTCCTCGGCTGAATACGCATGCGCGGCAGGAGCTGCGCGCACATTCAGCCAGTCTCATAGGAAAGCATTCATAATGCTTTCCTATGGACGCTTGCGTCTTCTCACTGTGATTTTCACAGTGAGAAGCACACAAACGCCTCTAGCGGCTGTCAATGAAACAGCCACTAGAGGCTTTAGAGGCTGGATTAACCCTATTATAAACATAACAGTTTCTCTGAAACTGCTATGTTTATAAAAAAAACAGGGGGTTAATCCTAGAGGGACCTGGCACCCAGACCACTTCATTAAGCTGAAGTGGTCTGGGTGCCTAGAATGGTCCTTTAACAAGGCTGAAACGATCGTCTGGGGTTGCTGTGTCTCTTGTGCAGAGAGAATTTGCTGGCATTTCGGATCTGGACTGCCCATATGGGTGGGACCACTCTGATATGTTTCAAAGATGTTCTCTCTGTAATGGCACGAGATGAGCTAAAACCAGCTTGAGTTCTGAGCGGGGACCCACCGAAAGGCAGGCTTTTTCAGTTGCTGTCCGTTCTCAGAATACTCTTGCGACCTGTTTTTTGCTCTCCCTTCTCCGTTAAACGTTCACCCAGTCTCCACTTCTCACTTTTTCAGGAAAGCGTATTAAACGCAGGTAAATATAAACGCAGGTTTATATTCCCCCTCTCCCCCATGACTCCTCTCCTGCAACTGTCAAAAATAACCTACTAAGTCTTCAGTGAAAACGATTCTAGCAACCTACTTATACCCTCTGCGTCACTATACCCCACTCCCTCTAGCATGTAAGCTCATTGAGCAGGGTCCTCAACCCCTCTGTTCCTGTGTGTCCACTTGTCTGGTTACAATTACGTGTCTGTTAGTCCACCCATTGTACAGCACTATGGAATTTGCTGGCGCTATATAAATAATAAGAACCAGTTAACCTCCCTCCTCTGCCACATTCTACAGTTTGTTTTTGTTATACATCACCTTTCTTTAGCCCTGCTCTAGTCATATATAGTTTACAGATTATACTGCATTGGTATTTGCAAGGGGTGCAGAAGGGATTGCTGGATGTGCTCTTTCGCAGCCAAATTAAGGATTCAGTTGTCCACTCTGTCTTCCATTTATTTACCAGTTTGATATATCAACCATTATCATTCATATTTACATGGTAATGATTTTTATAGCTTTTGCATTATATTGTGTTCATGTGGTAATATTTAGCTAGTTTTTAGCTTGTCTAATGAATAGAAATTACCTTTACAATGGTTAAATTTTTATTTAATATTCTCCTTTTATAAATAAAAACTCCCGGAGTGCACATCCTAAAAGCCTGTCAACACACAACACAAGTTTACTTAGAATAGAATGCACTTCACATTATCACATGTTTAATTATACCCCACTTCCTCTAGTTTGTAGCAGGGCCCTCACTGACTTGTTTCTTGAAGTTGAACGTGTTGAAATGATTTGTATGTCTGACAAACTCATTGCAGAGTACAGCAAAAAATGTTGGCACAAACTATTTCTACATCGCAAACATGGTATAACAATAGAAAAAATTTTTTTAGAAACGGAGAGCTGGTCAGTTTTTTTTTTTTTTTTTTGGTGCAGGTAGTTACAAGATATCAGCAAACGCCACAACAGCGTACTTCAACATATGTAAAGGTTAAACAGTGGCTTGAGTAATCACACAATTTTCTGTATATATAACATGCTTAACTAAACTGCTGCATTTCCAAAGTAAAATTTATTTAGTATGTATGCGAAGGAGACATATATATTACTTTGCTGTGTAAACCAATAGTGTACAGCCTCGTTTTAACAGTTATTTCCTGCTGGTCATTCGACGTTTAACAGTAATTGGTTAACTATAGTATGATAGCATGCTATGGAATTTAGTGACAGGTGAAATCTGGTATTGTCACTACACTGATGCGTATAAGTGGTGATAAGAATTCACATAGGACCCGACACTGAGAGTGCACTTAGTTGGTACGTTACGTGGTTTGCAAACAAGCTGGGTAAAATTATTTAAGGGTACAAGCTAAGTCAGTGAAGCAGGTTAAATCTAACAGTCAATACATAAAACAATGTGAATGAGAATTTGCTTATAGCCTGATGCTGTATGCGTGATACACAGGTGAGTTATGATGCTATTAAGCAGGCTAGGTAACATTATATAAGATAGAATAGCAAGCATAAGCTAAGTCATAGTGAGATTATTCACTGTGGTCTGGGGACCTCTTGAGTGTCATGCTGCTCGGTATAGTCCACAGTTCTTGTAAGTGGCATGACAGGACCAAAGCTGTGACATGTCAGTTATGCAACGCGTTCTGGAGCCCTTGGGTATTGTCACTTTCATCCGATGCCCTCTCTCAGGGGGCGGTTGGAGTTCACCAGTGGGTCTCTGCGGTCTTCCACGGTGCAGGCGAGAGTGAGCCTGTCCCTCTAGCCCTAGGCTTGTATGCAGGCCTGCATCTCTCTGCCACCACGTGTGGGAGTGATTGAGGGTCTGACAGTCGTCTGTCGTTTGAGGTGCTTATGCCTCCTTCTGTGTAGGTGATGCCTCTAGGCTTTGGTCTGCAGGCTGGGTGAGCCAGGGTAAGTACGGGGAAGTTGGTGCAGCAGTTGTATGTCCAAGGGTCTTCCTCTCACCTCCCGCGGCTCTGCTACTGAGTCTATATGCATGCTTATACTTTTCGGAGGTCCGATATTGTTCTATGTACACTCCTTGTTTTATTGATTGCATGTAATATTCTAATTTACTAAGATTGTGGATTTGGGGTTTTCATGAGCTGTAAGCCATAATCATCGCACTTTTTACAAATCATGGCTTGAACTATCTTGCTTTGCATTACTGAAATAAATGAACTTTTGATATTCAAGTATCACCTGTATATAACCAAGTTCAAGACTAACATAAATATCCATGAATCTGATAGTTAATCTGTGAGGCAATTTCAGTCCACTTCGGGATTGCCTCAGATCTCCATTTTCTTGCCAAACAGACTTTGGTGGCCATTAATATATGCACAATTAGCATTTTTATTTCTTCTTTTAATTTGGGGAAATCCAAATGGAACAAAAAGAGTTGGAGGGGTCAGTTCAATATGGGACTGTGTTAAACTTGTAAGTTAATTTTCTAACTTGACCTTCAAAAAGGAAATAGGCAGGTACATTCCCACCATATATGCCGTATAGTTCCAGTTTTTCTCTTGCATCTCCAACAAAGATCGCTAATGTTGGGTTGAAACTTAATCTGTCTGGTGTCAGATACCAACTGTGTAAAATTGAGATAATTTTCAAACAACGAAATACTATAAATAGTTTGTCAGATTTAAAGCGGTAACCCATTCACTGGATACAAAGTCTGTGCTCAGCTCCCTTTCCCATTTAATAATCCCGCAAAGCTTTGTACCAGTTTTCTCATATACAAAGATTCTTTAATCTTAGACGACAAATTGGAGCCATTATTTAGGTCGTAGAGTTTATCCAGCTTATTACCTCTCTTAATTTCCCTATTTTTTTAAAAAAAAGGTTTTAAATTTAAAGTAAGGTATTCTTTGTTGGAAATTCCATGATTTATACATAGAGTAGTGAATGGCCTAAAAATCACTCCAATATATACATACAATGCCAGCATTTACCCAACTCCTTATATTTATTTTAAGATATAGGGAATAATAATATATAGGGTATACCAATAGAAATTTAGATCACTAAAATTTGGGCTTATTTGAGTTCTAGAGTAGACATTTAATGTTGTATTTATTCCTTTTATCTCAGTGTTTATGACAAAATGAATGCACTAAACATACGGTAAAGCCAAACATTATCGTAATCAGGATTCAAGTTGTTCTTTATTTACATCTCCAAGTAACAAAACTCATAATTCATTGAGACAGACTGCCCTGCAGCCTAGATCAGTGGTAAATCACTTGGGTAGTATGCTCCATATATACATATATTATTAATGGACACACTGACATGCTTTATGGCAGCTGCAACACTCTCAACACATGAAAACCAAAACCACACTATTCTCCGTGGAAGAACCAGGTGTTGATTTAAAGCTTTCTCCATGACAGTTTAGGGATGATTGGTATACAGTTCTCCTCCAGGCTGTCATACTTGTTAACTGAAACACGTTCAGGCAATTTTAAAATGCAACCCATAATGTGTTTCTCTTTTTAGTAATTCCATACCAAACATGAACTATCCATCTCCAGCAAGCAGCTCATTCAACTTTGATTGCTTCCTTTTTGCTAGCTTTGTACTCCTTGGCAATCTTTAACAGGGACAGCAGGATTGGGACAGCCATGGGTAAGAAAAGGGGTATGTAAATAGCAAATTTTTGATCATCTGGGAAATATAACAGGTGAAGGAGAGAAGGATCAAAAAATGCCTTTTCTGAAGAAGTAATGGCTTCCTTGCTAGCTTGAAAAGCAAACTCTAGTCGACCAGCATCTAATTCAGTCATAGCAATCTGAACAGAGGAAACTGCACGGTACACCTGGAAAGAAAAAAATTACAAGAACATCATTCTGACAATATTGCCAATATTCTCCTTACTCCAAATAAATAGGATACACCCTCCCCACCCCCAAAAAATAAATAGTTTTTTACATTTCACATTATAGATAGTATTTTGAAGTTAATGAACAAAATCAGCACAGTACCATCAATATCAGTCGCCTAGGTTTTCCTGCTGAAAATTAAGATAAATAGAAAAAAACTTTATAGAATCCACGAGGCTAAAGATGAATTACCTTTATTTGAATCTTTATTAACCTTTATCTTCTTGAGCCAAAACATTGTATCCTGAGTTTAGACTTCATACCAGTGCACAGTCCTATCATATGTTTTATTGATCCTGGGAGTGTGGTTACCTCCAGGCTGGAGGCACATTTAAGGTCTCTTTTGCATGTACCGACCCATATTTCTCTCAAAGTCTGCATTAGAGTGTCCCAGGAGGGGGACACAAAGTGCCTTTCGCTTTAGGGAAAGAAGCCATCTTGGGTTTAGTGAGGAGATGCAAGGACTGGCCGGAGCAATACACTTTTCGCAATTCACAGAGCTGAATGCCGCTGGGATATATCAAGTCATATCCAGTCAGCGTTGCAAGCTAGAATTCCAGTGGCCAATGCTTGGGACAGGCAACCGGCCTGGTAAAGGAGATCTTGAATGGAAGTCAATATATGTTTATGTGTGTTTGCATTACTCATTATGGGTCTGTCAGTAAGTGTGTCAATGTTTTTATATGGATGTCTGGATGTGTCATTGTGTTTGTATTAGTCCCTATGTGTGCGTGTGTGTCAATTTATGTGCCAGTGTATGTCAGTGAATGTGTGCGCGCATTGGTGATTGTATTGGTTTGTGAGTAATAGGAGTGTGTGGCAATCCGTGATTGTGTGTATCTGAGAATGTGCATATATGGGTCAGTCAAACTGTATGCCCCTGAGCATCAGTGAGTGTATGTCATAGGTCATCCCATTCCTCAAAAAGATCCTTTGAGATAGATCATGTATCCACTAACCTCTAGAAAGGTCAAAAAATTCAGAAAATGGCTCTCTTTATTTTGCCTTTCAGCTGTTTAGCAGATAGCTACCTAGTTTGTTATACTCATATGTCAATCCTACATAAGTATACCAACTTCTATTATCATAAAGAAACACTATAGGTACCAAACCAACTTTAGCTTAATGAAGCAGTTTTGGTGTATAGATCATACCCATGCAGTCTCATTGCTCAATTTCCCGCCAGTGAAAAGTTAGATCACTTTTGTTTCTGTTTATGCAGCCCTATCCACAACTCTCCTAGCTCTACTCACACAGCCAACTTGGAAAAAAAAAAAACTGTTAAACAAAAAAACCGATTCATTAAACTAAAGATGCTTTGGTACCTATAGAATCCCTTTAAAGTCTGGAATACAATGATTGTGTATGTACGATCATAGCTTGAAAGGACAATCCATAACCTTCATCAATAAACACTAGATATTTCCAGTATCTTGTTTACCATGAACATACTGTAAAGTTCCTCTGATGCCATTATAGTAATATGACTTACCTCCGAGGCTACATTGTCATTAATAACAATGTTCCCGATCTGATCCAGAAGTTGAGCCAAAGATGTCAACGTGGTAGACACTGTAGCTATATTCTCAACAGTCCTTGACCAGAGGAGTTTGTCTAGCTCCCAGTCTGTCAGCCCCTCATTGCCTGGATTTTCCACCATATAATTCTCTGGCACATAGACCTTTGTAATGCCTAATAGTAGTCTGGAGATGACAGTAAAAAGACAAAGTGTCAATTTAGTAATAGTTTTTATCCAACGGAATTTACTAAACATGTCTGACAAACCGTCAAAAATTAAAAAGGCATTGTCTGAAGAATACGTTATATTCAAAAAGGTTACTCCGTGAACCATTACCACTTTAGTAGTCATGGTGGTTGAAGTCTGCATATGCAGCATTTCAGTATGAAATAATCACTGGCAGCCTGGAGGGAGGGGACCATGCAAGCAATTGTTACTCCAACTAAAAACAGTTTATTAAGACCGTTGTTTTGTTGGAGTAACCCTTTAACAGTGAAAATAGAAAAAAAATGTTTTTATTCAATTGACAAACTCCTAGTTGAAAATGTATATATTTCACCATCACACATCGACCAGGAGGTTATCAATTAATAGAGAATAAAAGGGAACAACTTGGAATCTTGGACTCCACCAACCACCTATTGTTTTTCTACCATTACTGTGGAAGATAGACAATATGGACCTACTGTGTTGCTGCCCACTAGAAAGATCCCATTGAGGGTCAAAATGTTGACAGTTTTTCCACTCTGTTGTAGAATAAATACATTGTCAACGACTAATATCTGAGGTTTCCCGCTTTATTAACATTATCAGCCAGTGAAACAGAATACTGAATAGGTAGCAGTCTAAATAAATATATCATTATACAGTGCTTTATCAGAGACTCACCGTAGCTGTGTAAGGAAAATTTCCATCACTTGCACCATGTCGATGTCCACATATATTGGAGGTTCTTGTTCTCCTTGGCTTTTATAATCTACATTATAGACCTGTAAAATAAAGATTATTAACTGATAAAGAGCAGTAACTCTATCCCTCAAATCCATAATATAATTAAAGTCGTCACTGAAAAACAATTCTGAAGAATTCCTGCATGCTGAAGACATGCAGTGTTAAAACAAAAAAGAGCAGTACATAAAAGAACAAAAGGAGAGTAGAATGGTCAAGGCATTATAAAAATTACTTACAAATCAAAACTGGAAGATACAATAGTTAGAAAATACATTAAATGATAGAGGACACACCATGTGGTAAAGGATCTATAGGGGACCAATTAGCAAATAATTGTTTGAATGTCATTTTCTTATTGTGGGTCTACTCCACTAAACTAAAAAATGGCTAATAAATGAGAATAAACTGCAGAAAAATTGGAGGGGTATTATTTGATCCAATTGGGAAGAATAGCCTTTAGTCCAGCATCTGCCAAAGTTATTTATAAAGGCCTTAACCCCTTTGTGGCCTAAC